GGGGAACCGCACGGCGGCGGGCCCGCTCGCGTCCCCGGAGCCCCGCAGCCCGCAGCCGCCTCGCCACGTGGACCGCATGGTGGGCGACGACCCGTACAACCCCTACAAGTACGCCGACGACAACCCCTACTACAATTACTACGACACGTACGAGCGGCCGCGGCCGGCGGGCAGGCACCGCCCGGGCTACGGCACCAGCTACTTCCAGTACGGTGAGCCGACCCGGCCGGCCGCGCACCCCGACCCATCGCACCCCGACACGCCCAGCCCCGCACCCAGACCCTCCGCACCTCGACCTCCCCGGCCCCGCACTCCGACCCTCCGGCACCCCGACTCGCTCGGCCCCGCACCCCGACCCTCCGCACCCTGACCCGCCCGGCTTCTCCGCACCCCGACCCTCTGCAGCCTGCGAACCGCTCTGGACCAGGTGCCCACCGTGCGCCTGGCCGTCCGCTTCCTTTAAGCCTTGTTCCGCATCTGGGGTGTCCCTAGTTCTCGCCGGGGGCGGGGTGTCCCTCACCACTCGGGTCCCAGTGGAAGAAGGGGGTCAGCAGGGGGTCCCGCGGGCGGGGGTCGGGGCCGCGAGTGGGCTCACCGCCGCTCTTGTCCCCGCTGTCGCCTAGGTCTCCCGGACCTGGTACCCGACCCCTACTACATCCAGGCGTCCACCTACGTGCAGAAGATGGCCATGTACAACCTGCGCTGCGCCGCGGAGGAGAACTGCCTGGCCAGGTGCGTGCGGCCCCGCCCCGCCCCGGCCCCGGGTGCTGCCCGCTCTGTCCAGCGCGGACCAGTGTGGCTGGGAGCGGACAGGACGCCGGGGCAGGCCCCCGTGAGCTCTGCTTCAAACTGAGGCCCAAAGTTGGGAAGCAGAGCAAATCCTTCTCCTGGAGACTGGGAGTCTCTGAATCTTTTTCCAAGATTCTTAAACTTTAGAGCCAACGTTCTATAAAACAACTGCCCAGGAATGTAGAAAAAATGTAATGGAAGAGCTTGTTAATACTCTCCTAAAAGACCTGGGGCACACTGCCACTGTGGCACTTCTTTCTGTACAAGCTGCTTTCTTCTTTGTTTTAGGCCGTGATTAACTGGTTGTTTTGGCATTACTTCAGCTGAAGTAAGGTCAGAAACAATCACTTTGTTTTTGTATCAGTCCTAACATAAAATAGCTATTCTGGAATTGGGGTTCCGTGAGTTTGCTGCGGGAAACCAGCAGATGGAGCAAAAGATGTTTTGATCATTGCCACAAATATATTAATATGTACAATAATCATCTGTAATATTCAAACGTTCACAGAAAGTGTAGTAGTAGGAACACATATTATTTACGTTTCTTCCACGCTGACCCTCTGATTATTAGGTTAAGGAGAGAAGGAATTCAAACTCACTTTCATTCTTGAGTTCAGCTTCATTCACACCACTGTAGTAGTATGAGTTCTGTTTCACTCACTCCTTATAGTTTTGTTTTGTTTTTTGTCTTTTTTTTTTGAGACAGGGTCTCACTGTGTAGTTCAGGCTGGCCTTGAACTCATTTTGTAGCCCAGGCTGGCCTCGAACTCGAAGTGATCCTCCTGCCTCAGCCTCCCAAGCTCTGGGATTATAGGCATGTACCACGATGCCAGGCTCCCCGATGGTGTTATTAATGACTTTGTTTTGAAGATAGCTAAGTTACAAAACTATTTAAGTATGGGCATGTTCTTTTAGAGTCAGTTCCTCATTTTACATCTTAATTATCTGTTTAAGAAGAACTATTTTATTAAACTCAAAGTTCTTAATAAGTATCCATGGATCATTTTCTATTTGGGCCAATTTTCACCTCAGTTTTGCTCGTTAATATGGTCCGTCATGAATTGGCTTTTTTAGATAGTTTGTTTCTTACGTATATTTTTTAGTGTGAAATTTTATTGTTTTTATTTTGAAATTCTGTGAATTTTCATTGTTGTCATTAACTCGCATATTCACCAAAATGTTCTGGTGTAACTGAGTGCTGGTTACTCCAGGGCCATTCTAGAAGCTTGGAATTCAGCAAGAGATAAAATAAACCCCCAGGCCTCTTAAAACTAAGCATCTAGTTGGGAAGGGGATGTTGCTGCTATAGTATGGAGATGTTTTGTTTGTAGATTTGTCTTTAGTTAATATCCTGTGAATACAGTAATGTTTCTCTTTCTCAAAATCACAGTTCTGCATACAGGGCAGATGTGAGAGATTATGATTACAGGGTGCTGTTAAGATTTCCCCAGCGAGTGAAAAACCAAGGAACGTCTGACTTCTTACCCAGCCGCCCAAGATACTCCTGGGAGTGGCACAGTTGTCACCAGTAAGTGCCTGGCTTGCTGAATATTTCTCAGTTGTTCTTTCATTTTCCAGGTAGTCATTGATATGGTAAATGAAAGGGGAAATGAATTTTTCTATGTTATTGGATAAAATCAAAGGAATCATCTTTAAGATAATCCATCCGTGGGCCGGGGATATAGCTCAGTTTCATAGCCCCTGCCTGGCAAGTGTGAAATCCTGAGTTTGATTTCTAGTACCAAAAAAAGATACTCTGTCAGTTACTAAATCCCTTATTTTTGAAGCAGAAACTCTTAAGTCCAGCTTACTGAGCAGACACAGCTGTTGACTTCAATAAAATTTATTTCTGTAAACTACAGGTAGGATTTCTATAAATATCTATTACAGACAAAAGTAATCTACAGTTAATTAGCATCCAAAAAAACTTAGCATGAATCTCTTAAAGAAGATAAACTTGACCTCAGTATTAGAGTGGACACAAATTTGTGAGGCGCCACGGAAGGCGCTTGCTATTCTGATGGCTCTCTTTGTCTGTAACTGACCACTTGCCATCTGTTTGTTGTTGGGGACATCAGACATTACCACAGCATGGACGAGTTCAGTCACTATGACCTGCTGGATGCCAACACACAGAGCAGAGTAGCCGAAGGTCACAAAGCAAGTTTCTGTCTCGAGGACACGTCGTGTGACTATGGCTATTACAGGCGATTTGCATGTACTGCACACACACAGGTAAGATGATGCCCCAAAATTGGGGACCCCTGGGTTTTAGAGATAAAACAAAGTAGCACACTCTTTCTTTTCCTCTCACCTCTTTTTTAATTGCTTGATTTTGGGATTACCTTAGCAAGATGAAGAATAATTGGGAAAAGGCAAGTGATGACGTAATGATTCAGATTACTTTTAAAAGTATTTCCAGCTATTCAAAAGTATTTCCTTGGCCCTGACTCACAGTCACAGTCACAGAAGGGCAGTATGTATCTTTGTTATTTTCCATAACAAAAAGCAGAAATTTGATGTCTGAAAATTTATGAATGACTTATCTGTACTCTGTATTTTTATTGGGTATAAATAACTGTAGAAAATAGACTTCTTTTCTCAGCCACTGAGCTATTCTTTTCCACATTATGCTTAGAAAGAGTATTAGTTGATGTTAGCAAAATGAAAGGAAATAAACTGCTTAAAAGACTTTTTAAAATTGTCTCTTTTTAATAATGCAAACCAGAACAAGGACACATTTCTTTCTCCACACATATATATTTAAACCTACAGTATAATTGATGGCAGATATCTTTGGATGAATTTTTTTATAATAGCACTTAACTAAAGTTTGATGTCTTATAATTGGAAAATATGTGTGAGTTAAAAGTCATGTCACTATTTCCATATGAAACTCTAACTTGTAGAAGGACATTATAATTTACTCCAGCCCAAATCTTGGCCAGAGGTAGAGAGTGTGCATAACTGAGAGCACAAAGGCATTGGCAGCTGGCATCTTGGGAAGGAAATTTCAGGGTTGTGGCAGAAGCTTTTTGGTGACCTAAATATTAACATTACTTCTTTCTCTTAGTTTAGACCACCATAGCAATTGGATAGGGAAAAGGTTAAATTTGATATGTGGGGAGGGTATGCTTATTATTTAAGCAAAAGGAAGTGCAGCCTCCCCCACATGTTGCACATGTGTCCACACAGAGATTCACTTTTATGCCAGATCTCGAAGTGCCATTGTACTGTGTGTGCAAGGGACCTGGAGTTTATTATGCTGCTCAGGAAAATTGCACTCAGACACTCCCTGTAAGCTGATGTGATTGAATCTGGGTTATAGGCACTTGCAGCACTTCTTGTTCCCCTATTTTGTGGATAACCCCACTTCATTTTATATTGTAACACTTTTTATTCATTAGACCATTGAACGTGGACTTCATTTAAAGAAAAATTTTTTACAAACATCATATTTTTTATTTTTTTATTTTAAAAATAAAAGAATGAAAACATATTAACAAACAGCCAACCATTTACAAAGTAGCACAAGAACAGTACCAGCAACACTGAACTACATACAAGGTGACAGGGAATTAATAATGGTTGTTGTATTACATATTGATAACTTCAAAGTAGTTACTCAAGAAAACAAATACAGACATGCAAGATTGATCAAATAATTAATCACTAACTGTTCCTTTCAATAAAGTGGTATAAGTCAGTAGTACAACTCATGGAACCCCAATTCCAGAATAGCTATTTCATGTTAGGACTGATACAAAAACAAAGTGATTGTTTCTGACCTTACTTCAGCTGAAGTAATGCCAAAACAACCAGTTAATCACGGCCTAAAACAAAGAAGAAAGCAGCTTGTACAGAAAGAAGTGCCACAGTGGCAGTGTGCCCCAGGTCTTTTAGGAGAGTATTAACAAGCTCTTCCATTACATTTTTTCTACATTCCTGGGCAGTTGTTTTATAGAACGTTGGCTCTAAAGTTTAAGAATCTTGGAAAAAGATCTATCTATCTATCTATCTATCTATCTATATATATATATACACACACACACACAAATTTTCCCCTTCTTTCTTTTCTCTTTTCCCTCATCCCAGTTGCTCTGTACTTTTGAGCAGTTTCCTTTCATTTCACAATGTCTATCATACCTCCTACTTTTTATTCACTCTTTCAGGTTCTTGCACTAACTAGTGAGACAATACGCTGCTTACACATGGAAGTCTCATTTATTTCACTTATGAGTATTGTCTCTAGTTGTAACCATTTACCTATAAAAGCCTCGAGTTTATCTTTCTTTATAGCTGAGTAATATTCCATAATATAAAAATGCCACAATTTTTTTATCAATTCCTCAGTACATGGACATTTGTGTTGCTTCCACGATTTACCTATTACAAATTGTGCTGCTGTGAACATGGGTGCACATATATTGCTGTGATATGATGTTTTCAGATCTTCTGGGAAAATACCTAGAAGGGGAATAGCTGGGTAGAATGGGACCTCTAAATCTAGTTTGCTGAGGAATCTCCAAACTGATTTCCACAGTGGTTTCACCAGTCTGCATTCCCACCAGCAGTGGAGAAGGGTTCCTATTTCTCCACAGCCTCGCCAGCATTTGTTATTGGTTGATTTCTTAATGTTAGCCATTCTTACTGGGATGAGATGAAATCTCAGTGTTGACAAACCCATCATATTGACTTGGGTTATTTTTATTATAATCCTTTTTGAATGTATGCAAGCATAAAATTGGGTATAGATAGCTTCTTTATATTTATACTTTTATGTGGTTTCTGTTTTCAGGCCACAAGTATACATATTGAGTATATGTGAAAACTAAAAATAGTTACTTAGTTACATTAGCATCATTAATCTTACATCACAGTTATTTTTTGCTAAAACCAAATAGCTGACATAGATAGCCTGGGATAATGTTCTATATTTAATCTTTTTTTATGTTTTGGCTTTGGATACATGAAATGCCTATTTGCTTAATGGTCTTAGTAATTCTGGTTTTATATTTGTCAGTTCAAATAACCAAAACTAAATTCTACCAGCTGAGTAATTCTGTATTGACAATTTCAACATTTTTATATTTATTTATCACTTTTGGAGACAGGGTCTGGCTGTGGGCCCCCGGTGGTCCTGACCTCCTGCGCTCAAGTGGCTCTCCCATTTCAGCCTCTGGAGTAGCGAGGCTGTAGGCATCTACCACCACCTACGAATTACTGCAGTGTTTTATAAAGTACTTTTGTTTACTTGAAAGTAGAACTATTTAAACCTGTCTGAAACAGTCATCTAATCCAAGGACTCTTTTGCAAGACTGTGAATGTAGTAGTAGTAGCTGAGACTTACTAAGTACGTATGATGTGCCAGAATTATTTGCTGGAATTAAAAATTCTGCATTATGCATTTATTGCTGTGTTGTTTATGTATTTAATGACATATGGGCTGAGGGAGGAATCCAGGCCATAGCAATGCAGTACAGTTTCCACTGTTTTGGTGCAAGTGCTTTTGAGTTTGGCCTGTTGGTGCTATCATTTGCTAATAACAGCACAGTTCTCCCCACACTTTAACCAAAGGTGGCTGCAGCCAAATCAGCATTAGTAAAGCATGCTAAGATGATTTTGCTATATCTTTGGTGACCAAGGTGATCTCAAGCACCAGTTTTGGGTACTGACCAAGGTGATCTTAAGCACCAGTTTTGGGTGTTGAAATTAAATGATCATATTGAATATGAACAACAGTTAAAACTTCTTGTGAAGAACTAATAGAAATAAAAATATACGTACAGACAGCAACTGGAGAGAACTTTTCCTGACTAACTTTCTTGAAAATAAGGACTATACCTTAATGGTGTTTTTTTCCTCCCGCCTATACAAGACACTCATTTACTTGGAGATGGGAATATTTTAGTAAATGAGAGATGTCACATTCATCAGTTTAGGCATATATCCACCCCTTGACCTGAACAAAAATATCCAGGCATTACGTGAAAAAGTGTACAGTGTGGTGGTTAAAAACAGGTGCTCTGGACCCTATCTCATCTTGAAATCAGCTCAGTCACTCACCAGCCATATATGCTTAGGTAGTTATTTGACATAGTGTGCTCAGTTTCCTCAGCTATAAAATAGAGATAATGACATCTGCCTCGTGTACTTGTGAGAACTGAGTGTACATATGTAATGTGTTTGAAATAGTTTCTGACATGTTGTAACACTTAATAAACATTAGCTGTTCAAAGATGCAACACAGCCTCTACCTTGAGGGACTTCTCATCTGTAGTTGGGTATAATAGTATATAGTCTATTATAATGTAGCATAGAAATGGATAAGTAGTATAAATCTGTAAATCTAGTGTAAAAATAATCACTGCATTCACAGTACGAGAACCTAATTTTTAAAAGGGGAAAATTGGAGACAGTAAATAAGATACCTGAACTAAATTAATTACTAAATGACCTATCACTGGATCAATAATATTCTAAACTTTTGGTGGAGGTCTGTTTTGTCCCTTAAGATTATCTTTATCACTAGTGATTTATGATACTTTAAGACACAAGGTATGCTACTACTTATTTTAGTTCTGTATCTTTTTTAGTTAGAGGTGCTTTAAAGCTGAATAATTTATACTTTTCAAGGGAGAGGAAATATAAGTATAATTTTATTCAAGCTCTTGTAAGTACTAACATAATTTAATTTTCAAATAATAGCATATTCTTTAGCATAGTCTGACCATATCCCAAAGTTTTAAACATTTTGTTTCTTTGTTTTAGGGGTTGAGTCCTGGATGTTACGATACCTATGCAGCAGACATCGATTGCCAGTGGATTGACATTACAGATGTACAACCTGGAAACTACATTCTCAAGGTAGAAATCTTTAAAAATATGTGTGATTATTTAATTGCAAATCTATAGGGCCCCTTCTTGGGATTCAAAGGTTAAATAATCTTGTTCTGAGAGCAATTGTGTATCCATCACAATAATTTCTAAGTAAACCAAATATATGAAAATGTTTTTATTTTAAGTAATTTCAGGGAAAATTGCAGTTTCCTTCTATAATGTCTCCAGACAGAGTTTAACCACTTGCTTAACTTATACTCTCATCCCTGCCTGATTTAGCTAAATCTCTTGTTAATAATTCCCTTGTGGCAGCCCTGTGGAAATAGAAAATACCCAGTGTACCCTATGGTGAAACCTTTAACACAGAAGCTGTTTATACTGCTCAGGTCAGTGTCAATCCCAGCTACCTGGTTCCTGAATCAGACTACAGCAACAACGTTGTGCGCTGTGACATTCGGTACACAGGACACCATGCATATGCCTCAGGCTGCACAATTTCACCGTAAGTTTATTTGTCTAGATAAGTACTTTTCTTTATAAAGAATTTTAGTTCATAGACAGGCATTATACATGATATGTAGCTTCCATGTAAATAAGCCAAAGGTAGAAATTCCTCTATAGAATCTGTACTATCAAAAAGCTGATCTTTTTGCTTTTAAATAATGCTAGAGGAAAGAGGATATACCAAGGCTTTAATTATCCTAAAGCTTAGTTCTCAAGATAAGGCACATACACAGAATGCAGTGTTTACCCAGAAAGCTGTGTGGCAGCCAGTGTGTCAAACTGCTCAATGTGCAGTGTGGGTGAGCTTGTAGGAATTCAGCAGTTGGCTTTCTGGTCTCTTCCCCACCCTCCCTGAAGGAGCACTGAAGAAATTCTTGGAGCTCTTTAAACCACATTTTGAAAATCAGTCTTTAAAGTAGCTAAAGATGGAAGATCTGTTGTGTAGAAATGCAGATTTCATGTATTTGACTTCTAGACCACAGGTACTGGGGAAACATCCTAAAAAAGGGGTATGTAGAAATTCCTTCAAATTTTCCTAATCCTGAAACACTTTTCTGCATGAAATCTTAGAAGGAATTCCATAAATATTAATCAGAAGGTACTTTGATAAAAATAACGAATGAAAGTTGGGCAGGTTTGCTGCACACCCATCTGTCCCGACTCATCCCACAAGTGCTGCCTGCTCTGTTGCTGCTGCGTAATAGATAGTGACTCTGCACTCCTCCTGAGTGACACCTGTGCAAAAATGAGAAGACCATTAGAATGTTACTGAGTATAGATCAGCTGTGCTTTGATGTTGGAGAGGCACTGATGCCTCTGGGTTACACAAAAAGTATAGCAGAGCTACCAAAGAAGTCAGTCAATGGAAACATATTTCATACAAAAACTGGAGTAGGCATTTTCCACACCTGAACATGCAGCTTGGGGTTTCCCAGGTCTACTTAAATCTGGCTGTGTAGGTCTTGCCCCCTCCTGGGTTCCTAGCCATGCGGAAAGTGGAGCTCAGCCAGAGTGTGCTCCATCCACACTATCATGTGCTGGGGCTGGGGCTGGGGCTGGGGCTGCATTCACCTCCTAGAAGGTCCCTTTTTCCTCTTCACGTAAAGAGCATAGCCTGTGCCTTATAACTATCATCACATCATTCAAGACACACGAAGCCCATAACAACAAAGGGATAACTCTGAAAAATATAATCAGATACGTTTTTCTGGACATGCTCATGACACAAAAGCTGGCCAGTTCTATGGCCACAGAGTATAGGGTGGGGTGGAATCTAGCCAAAGCCCTCAGAAGGTCGGTGTGGTACAATCTAAAACAATTAACATCTTCACTAATTTTTCTTCATCTCCATAATTCCATAATTTATTCACTCATTATCTATTCATCTATTCACTTGCTCTCACTTTTGCTGTATGTTTGTTAAGGTCCTAAACTGGAGAGGAATTCAGATTTGTTACTCCTAGCCCCACACTATTTCCTGTAGTTTTTTTTTACAATAATCCCTGTTGATTATTTATTAGTCTGTTTGCTAAACTTTGTCTCCTGCTGCACCCCACAGTGCCTGGGATTTAGCTTCTGCTCTAACACTGCATAACGGTTGCCAGGTGCAGGCCTGCCACCTGGCCACTGCCAGCTCACCAGTTACTTCATAGGTAGCTCACTCTGTCCCTTAAGGAATTTAGGATAGAATGGAGGAGTGATAGAAATCAAAATCAAAACCCAGTGGGGTTAGAAGGACTTCTGCGACAATAACTTTAGTGACTCAAATCTGACTACTGACATCGCACTAGGAACCGGTCTTGAGAGGTGACTCTTGTTACACAGAACGGGTCTTAATTTTGAGTAGAACCTAATAAACTGGATATTTCAGATATTCAGAATAAAAGGATTGTGATATTACTCCAACAAGATTGTGACTCTACAAGAGGGATTCCTGCTGCGGCCACTTATGTAGAGTTGATTACTTTTAATTTACCAGTTATCACTGACTGCAACTAAACTGCAAGGCTGGTCAAGATGAAATTTTAATAAGTAATTGGATCAGATAAAAATATGAAGAGAAATTGTAGTTAGTGATTCTCAAGTATAAGATCATTTGTATCCTGTGAGTAGGAAATAATGAGAAAAAAAAGTGCAAAGCCCTTGACCTGAGAAAAAGGAGAAAAATAAAAAGCAAAGCAAAACAAAACTCTCATCTTAAGGAGAAGGTTGCCTTGCTTTTCATCTCGTCTCCCTTGCTAGAATTCAGATGAGGGAGCAGTTTCTCTGGGTTGAGATTCATGAGTGACTTTAAGATAGGACTTGAATCAGCCTTGAATGCTGAGGACAGTGCTGTGGAATAGTAAGGAAGGGCGTAGCACCAGGAACCAATGTCATGGACAGTGACAAATGGGAAGGAATTGCATGGCATGCTTGCAAATCTTTCTTTTCTGGTTTGGCTGAGCATAAGTTTCGTGGAGTTGATAGGTGGGCAAAAAGGATAGAAACTATCAGCTGAGACCAGATCATAGGGAGCATTAAAGAGCAAACTAAGAAGTTTGAACTTTGTCCTGAAGGCTGTGGGGAGTCTTTGAAGATTTTTGAGCAGAGGGTATGACTTGTCTTGAGGCTATGTGTATGTGATTCCCAAGCAGACTGTCTTTTATTTGTCTTGTCTTTTCTATTCTTTTATTCCCCCTCCTCCCTTCCCTCTCTTTCTCACTCATTCCTTCCTCTCTAATGACTTAGTGCTCCTATCGCTCTACTGACACATATTCTCAGTCTTCTGGTTTTTTTTTTTTTTTTTTTTTTTCCTCTGGTACCGGGAACCAAACTCACGACCTTGCGCTTGCCAGGCAGGTGCTTTTTGCCACTGAGCTAAAACCCCAGTCCCCTTCTGGTTGTTTTTGAGGCCAACCAGATATCTGAGAGCATTTCACTGATATGCAGAAACCACCCAGTAAGTAGGTGTGCACCGTTGATACATCCTCTCTTCTTCATTTTCCTCACTGTAAACAAAATGTATGGACCAGGTGAATCTGAAGTCCCTTTCAATTCTAAAAATTCTCTCATTAAGTTTCTTCTCCCAGAACTAGTTCTTTTAGAAATTTATAGTTTATGATTAGACTTAAGCACATTCTTATTTCCTTACTTGAGGATCTGTGATCAAAATTTAAACACAACAATATTTGATTGTCTTGGCCCAGTCTATATCTGAAACCATACAGGAGAAGGGCTGATGCAAGATACAGAGGCTGTTCCTCTCCTCGGCCTCATAGTGGATATGCCACATTTCTTCTGTACTGTCTTAGTTATTTTTCTCATTGCCGAGACAAAATACACAAATTCCAAAGTTTAAAGGGAGAAAGGTTTATTTAGCTCACAGTTTGTGGAGGTTTCAGTCCAGAATTGTCCGCGTCCAAGGCAAAGTGGCACATGGCAGAGGGGCAACTATTCCTGGCAGTGGAAGATACCAAACACACTGGTGAGGGGCACAAGCCTCTTTCTGTCCATTATATTGTATGCAGGATACCTGCCCTAGGGCAGGTATAGCACTCACACCCTTATTCCCAGCATTGGACCATAAATCAATCACAAACTGTAGAAGCCCTCCCCCATGACTGCATGAGGCTTTGGAGGGACATCTAGAGACAAACCATAATATTTGGAATGAACTCATTTGGTTGAGGTGCTGGTCTCATCAGTCCTGCTTCACTTTTGATCACTTCCAAAGTTTTGCCTTTGACTCTAAATGTGAAGACTAAGACATTAGTCATATGTTTTCTGCTATTAACATAGTTGCATTCATCAAATTATTTATGAATAGTAATTTCACCAGGGGATTATTCCTCAGGTGGAGGGAAATTGCTACATAAAAATTTTTTAAAGGTTGACTTCAAATTTATCTACTGTACTTATTCATAATGTTGGGTTAATAACTTGTCATATTTTGTTTTCTTAATCTAGGTATTAGAAAGCAAGTCCAGCTTCCAGTGGATAAATCAGTACCTGGTGTTCTGAAGTGAGAAACAAATAGATTAGCTTCAGTAGGATTAACATATTTTGAAAAAGAGAACAGAAAACAAGAAAGGAGTTTTTGTTTGGACTCACAACAAAGCACATAACTGGATTCTGAATAATTAAATCAACACTATTTGGGAAGTTTTTAGTATTTATTCACATTACTTTGTGAATTAACACAGTGTCTCAGTTCTGTAGTTACATACTTGGTTCTTTCAAAGAAATGCAAACTTCATATGCTTCTTTTGAAATTATAGTATAAAAGGAAAATAATATTTTAATGAATGAGCCAAAATTACTTTGAACTGATTATTTTCTAAAGTATTGAGACTTCTGTGAAACATAATAATGATGTGCTTATATGTGTCTTAGTGTAAATTAATTTAGAAATGATGCTCCTACTGTTTAAATAGATACGGACACATTTGGTGCTGTGGAAAGAACAAACGTATTACTGTTGTTGTCAAAAAATATTATTTAGCAAAGAAATGGCAATACATGTATTCAGATAGTTATATCCTTATGTAAAAATCATGTTTACATTTTCTAAATTAGTAGATAACTTTCTGTCAAGTGCACAGTTTCATTTTCACTTGAGACAACTTTTGTTTGGAATTAATTAGGTAATTGAGCTGTCCAGTTCCTGTCTGATATTTTTCGATGCTCCCCTCTACTCTTACTTTTTCTATGCATACAGACATTTCAAGTGATATTCTTAAAATTATCATTCTGGGAACTGACATAAGTGGACAACTTTGTAACTGGGAAGTCATTCTGGGACCAGTATCATACATCCAAAAATAATACACATTTAAGCATATAGAAGTGTTAGCCAAAAGTAAAATTTCCTTGATGACATAAAAATCATACAAAAAAATCACCAAAACCACACTGTCTCTCAAATACTTAAAAGAAAATGAAAAACATATCAGGATCTTCAATTCTCCTATATTTTTAACTGTTTAGCTATTATAAAGACACAAAAATTTTTCAGTTATCCACAATAGATGACAACAGTACCTGTAGAACACAGGAATATCATTCTAGGATATTCAGGAATTGGTCATACATGTTTTTGTGTGTGCGTGTATGTCTGACATATAGTCCACATTAGCAAGGTACATACTAGCAAGCATTGCATACTTGGGTTGGTAAATAAAAGAGAAGAAAGTACCTTCTGTAAAACCAAGGACTACAGTCCAGATTGAGACAGCTGTGATTCTGTTTTAAACTGTGAAACTATGTGCAACAGAATTTGGAAAATCTTTTTCTTAAATTCAAAGATGCAGAAAGAAATCAAATTAGACTCTTAATTTAGTGGTGCTTAGGCAGGTGTTTTCCTACATTTAACAAGTATTAAAATTTCAAGCAAAGTATTTGCAGTGTCAGAACATACTAGGTAAAATTTTAAAAAGGAGTTGGTTATACGTCCTGTCGTATATGTCACAGATTTGTAAAGTCAACACCAACTACTAATACTTTTGCACTTACTGGGTATATAGCATGATAAAAGGGACAAGAGATGGTCAAGAAATAGTCATTGGGGTGGGTGGGATGATACACGTGGTCCTTACCTGCCCACGCACACCAATAAATACAGGTGGAACTTTCACTGAGCTGAGGTCTGAGCTGTGGGATACCTTGTTTGCCTGAAGTGGCTTTTAGTTTAAGATTGTAGAATGACTCTTTCAAATTGTAATCTTTTCTAATAGAGGTATTTTAATATACTTGCTTAAGTAAAACTACTGTCAGTATTAATACTGTGCCAGACTGGCGTCTCCAGATTTAACATCTATTGTCTCATGAAGATTTTTAACCCTGCTTCAAAAACTAGCCAATAACAAGACCTTTGGATACATGAGAGGAACACGTCTGTAGAAATCTCAATTAGATCTTTTATCTGTTTATCCATCAGTCATCATCTGAGGACCTAATATAAGCCAGGCGCTCACATGCTAGGCATTGGCACCCACAGAACATTGTCTCTACCCTCATAAGTATGACAGATGTAATTATTACCCATTAGGTTCATCTTATTTTACTCTAACAACTAAAAGTACATGTCCATACAAGTTCAACTGTAACCACTATTATTTTTCATGGCCATTTTTAATTTATAAAAAGAAAAGTTAATAATTATATGCACATATGTATTTCTAATAATTAAAGAGTTCAAATCCCTACAATGTCTGTTTATTAAATATAACATTTAATATTTGTTTATTTTGCAAAATACGTTTTTCAATTAGGAAGCTAAAGGTTCTTGTTTATTCCTTTTGTGAATATTCCTCCCCTGCCCATCATTCCAAACACTTACAAAGAACTCCTCAGTGTTTGTTTAACATTCAGTAGTTTCACTAGTGACCTTGAGCTGTCCAATTCCTGTCTGATGTTTGTTGATGCTCACCTCTGGTCTTACTTGAACCTTAAGAGGTCTTTTCCTTTGAATAAATATCAAAACTCACATAATGATTAGCTGGCGAGGATCATCAATTCATAACAAAAAGAGCACAATCTCGTCTCACCAAGCTAAGGGTGTAGAAACAACACGACACTGAGCACTGAGGAGAGGCAGCTTTTACCCAACAGGGGCTGGGAACCATGGAAAACACAACTTCGTGAGCTCACCACCTGCCACGTCAGCAGTTTTACAATTACTCAGCCCACAGCCCAGCTTAAAGACATCGTGGCCTTTGAGACTCGTCGGTCTCCCAACAGAGCCATGACATAAGTGAGTGTGCAACTTGCCTATTTCTAGAAATCTTTATATTTTTATATGATAACTTTATTTACAATTTCTGTGTAATTATTCACTAGGAATTATTTGTAATTAACAATTTTTGCTCTTTGAAATCTCATGAGAAAGTCACATTTATAAACATCCCAGATGGTCAAAGTTTAGAGGAAACACAGTTTACCAAGATTTTCCTGATACCAAAAGATAATTTTTAGAAGACTGAAATTCTGGTCATGAGATATTTTGTTTCTAAGAAATTTACTTTAAAACTAACAGTACATTAAAAGATTAGAAGTACCTTTTTCTATAATTTTTTAATTTATATTCACAACTGATATATTTCATCTACAAATTAAGTTTCACTCCTGGTACCCAAAGTTCTGGCTCACTTCTGAATGCAAAGCATTGCATTCATTCTTTGAGCTAAAATGGTGCTGAATTATTTCAACTTGAATGTAAAATGCATTAAGTGTTAGCTCACAGGACATAAACATATATTTAACATAAAACTGCTTGCTATAAACTCAGTGACATGTCATTTGGTAGTATAATGTTTTTAAGGCAATTTTAGTTTCTCCCAATTTTTCTGTAATCCTATTTGTAAAATGTGTAACTCTTTTGAAGAGCTTTTATTTTAAATGCCTAGACACTGGCTTTATTCTCTGCATTCTCATATTCTTTTATTTTTATTCATACTCTTTTATTATATGACATATTATAATTGCAAGATTATGTAAAAATGCCTTGAATAAATGATTTTCAAGTGTCTATAGTGGTCATTTGTTTTTACATATAAATAAATGATGTAAATTTTCATTTTCAGTTAAAACATTAAATCCATATATATGGTTGGCGGTCTGACTTAATTTCCTTTTGTGTTAACAAACTGTTTAATAAGAACATGATTTGGAGCTTATCTAGGATGAATAAAAATCTAGCTGATACTTTAGATACCATCATTCGTGAATCACACATATATAGGAATGAATCATAACTTGTCACTATTACTAGCTACTTCTGAGTACACAGACCAATGAAAAAATAATGATGCTATCATCAGCATTTACAAAGAATGCATACACTTAAAGGCTGCAAGTTAATTGTATAAAAAGAAACATTGCTATCATAGTAATTCTTATTTATAGTTGTACCAGATTAGCCTGAATGCTGGTTACCATGAAAGCAAACAGGTACCAAACTATGAAAATAATTAAGTGATTGTACAAAAACAATTCACCGGTAAAGAGCCCCCTCAGCTAAAACAAAATGTAGGCTGTGGCTGAAAATTTGTAGGTATGACTTGTAGAACATCAGTGCTACTTGATAGCACTAATTTCTGGCTTTCCTTGCCCGCTCAAGGCAGAATATCTGACTATCCTTTGTTACTAATGCAAAAAGATGATTTCTTTTGTCTCATAGTTGTTGAATGTTTCAAGCAGGGATCCTTTTTAGCTTGTTAACCAGAGATAGATAGTCAGATCTTACCTTCCTGTCAGAAAGTTTGTCTGCTTTTGTGTTCCTCAATTATCTATATGGTACTTCTAATCCCTGCTATAGATATTAGAGAATTAACAGGTTGAATAAGTCACTTTCATCATAGAGATTTTCAGCTTAAATTTAAATAAAGCATTTGTACTCCTTTCATTGGAATGAATAAAATAGCACTTATACACTATTGGAAAATATTGAGTTCCTAAAACGTGGAGCTGCCTTTCTATATCGGTGGAGGATTTTTTTCAGGCTCTTCCTTGGATATCTAACTGTAGATGGACACTCAAATCTCTTATACAAAATGGCACAGTACTTGCGTCTAACTTATACCATTTTGTATACTTGTATACTCTAGATAACTTACACAAGCATACCTTGTTTTGTGCCTCCTATTATTGCCCTTCACAGACAAGGCATTTTTTACAAATTGGAAGTTTATGGTGACCCTGCATTGAACATGTCTGTTAGCGCCATTTTTCCAACATTTATGTATTTTGTGTCTCTAAATTGAGTGACATATTGGTAATTCTCACAATATTCCAAACTTTTTCATTAGTACTATATCATATCTATGATCAGTGATCTTTGATGTACTATTGTTTTGTGGACTATATCCACGTGAGATGGAGAACTTAAAGCAACCCAATACCACCCCATGTTTTGCCATAAGGCCACTTGATCTCTATAAAATGTCAAACACCTTTGTTCCTTTGTCACAAGCTAAGCCCATGCTTTGTAGGAGTATTTCTGTAACTACACTAAATCATATCAGAAAAGAAAAACTAATATGCCTCGTAGGCCCGGAACCAGAACTGTATAACTATCCTCCCCTCCTGCCCTTCAGGACTGGTGCTCGGTCATAGACTGGGTGCCCACCACTGGCTAAAAACTTGATTGTCTCTGCATCTAGTCTCTGTGGATGATTCAAAAAAGTGCGTTCGCTGCAACAGTTATTGTTATCACAGTTCATTATTTCTTCTTTGACAAGTACTGTGGATCAAAGCCTCAAGAGAAACTGTTTTGAGGAAGACTGTCATGGGAGAGCTTCCAAAGTGGATGAGCTGCCCATCTCAAAAGATACATAAATCTCAACACAGAATCACAAGAACTATCATAAAATAGGGCAATATGACTCTTCTAAGCATTTGTGACTCCTCAGTAACTGAATTTAAAGATAAAGTGCCAAAAATTTCACAAGATTGACTTTTAAAATAATCAGTGGGACACATGGGATACACTGACTTTTAAAATGATCAATGGGACACATTTTAAAATGACCCAAAGGGACACAAATAAATAAACTGAATAAATTAAAAAAGATAACAGAAGCTATGACATTGCACCTCAATAGAGATATAGATCCTGAAAAAGAACCAAAGAGATATCCTGAAAATGAAGAACTCAGTAAGTCAGATAAAAAAAATAAATAAAAAGCTCAGTTTTAAGCTTCATTAATAGACTAGATCAGGTGGAAGAAAGAATATCAGGGTAGAAGACAACTTTGATGAGTTATCACATCCTCACAGTATTAATAAAAAGAAGCATGAACAGAATGTACAAGAATAGTGGGACCAGATTAAGAGTAGCTCAAGTCCTAAAAGAAAATAACTGCCCATCTAGATTGCTATGTCCTGCACAGTTATCTTCCAAAACTGAAGATGAAATAAATAGCTTCTGAGATAAACATAAACTAAAGCAATTCAGGACCAGTAAATGAACATTACAGAAGATATTTTAAAAATATACAGAAAAGGAAGCAAAACAAACATAATCAGGAAAGTATATCAGAAAAATTGTGCTAGACAAGTAAACGATCAAGAATAGTAAGAAGTCAAATATGATCAGCTCCGTAAATCATCAAAACTAAAGATAAGTGGCCTGGGGATTTAGCTCAGTGGCACAGCGCCTGCCTGGCAAGCGCAAGGTCATGAGTTCAATTCCCGGTACCGGAAAAAAAACAAAAAATAAAAAAAAATTTAAAAGATGAGTAAGAGAGAAAGAAATGAATATGTATCATTCAAAATAGCTAGAAAAAAACCAAAAAAATGGCAGGAACTTGTACATAGTTTTCAATAATAGCCTTAAATACAAATGGTCCAGAATCTCCAATTACAACATACACACTAGTTTATTGGTTGTAAAAAAAAAAAAAAATCCATGTTTGTTGTCTGTAATAGCCTCATCCCCAAAGGAAAGACATACACAGACTGAAATTTTAAAAATGGAAAGTGTCAGTCCAATCAAATGGAATCCAAAAGCAAGCAAGAGTAAATGTACCCCTATCTGACAAAATAAATTCCAAGCCAAATTGGGTCAGAAAAGAAAAATAAGGTCCAAAACTAAGAGAACAAAAGAAAATAGAAGAGTGTAGACTAACATTCTTGATGAACATAGATGCAAAAATCCTCAAAAAATACTTATAAATAGAATTTCACATCACATTAAAAATAATGTACATTATATTTAAGTAGATTTCATCCTAGTGGTAAAGGCATGATTCAACATAAACAAATTAATATAATTCACTACACAAAGTTAAGGATAAAAACTACATGATCATTTCAATCTGTGGAGAAAAAAATTTTTGAAAAAATTCAACAACTTTCATAATAAAACCTTGAATAAACTAGGTAGAGGAGACTTGTACCTAAACATAATGAAGGTTACTTCTAGAAAACCCATGGGCAACATCATAATGAATGGGAAAAAGCTGAGAACAACATAAGTGCTTTTACTTTCACCACTCTTATTGAATATTGTACTGAAAATCAGCTAGAGCATCAACAATAGAATTAAAAGGGATACAAAGAGCAAAGAAGTAAGTAAAGTTATTCCTATTTGCAGATGATATGATTCTATATCTAGAAAACCCTAGAGTCCACTGAAAGTCTCTCAGAACTAAGAAGCCAATTCAGCAAATTAGTGGGATATAAAGTCAGTCAACAAAATAGGCTGCTTTTCCCAGAACAATAATGAATTTGCTAAGAAAGAAATCAGGAGAACTATCCTTTCATAAGAAATTTAAAAACTAAAACACAAGAATAAACCTAATCAAGGAGGTAAAAGTCCTCTGCAGTGAAACTTATAAGACATGGAATAAAGAATTTGAAGAAAATAGATGGAAAAATCTCCCATGTTCATGGATTGGGATAATTAATGATGTTAAAATGGCCATACTTCTGATAATAATCAAATTCAATATAGATTCAGTTTTTCCCCAAATATTTTCTATGCACGGTTGGTTGAATCTGGGAATGTGGGACTCATGTGCACAGAGCCAAGTGTACTACAGAATTCCTGTTTCAAAACACTGTACCCAAGAAAATTCTCTTTGATAAATTTCCAGTACATAGGACCACACTGAGGATTCAGAGAAGAACCAAAATGAAGAAATCACTTCATCTTTCTTACCCAGTATTTCTCAGCTTTGTTTTCCTCCAAGTCTTTTTTAATTTATAGTATCACTTGTTATTCTATTAAACATTTTTTATTTGGAAAACCCTGGGATATGCCACATGAAATAGTTTTCAATTCATAGAAATGAGATCATTTGCAAATTCCTTAAATCAAACATACAATAGTAGCAGGATTTCACCTGTAAGACGCAGGGATACCAGAAACCCACCAATGTGCTGCCTGCCTTTGTTTCAATATCCAGCAGGACAAACATTAAGTCCTATAACTCCATGTGCAATGTAAGAGGCAATCTGTGGCAAATTGTGAGCTCCATGTGAGTCTCATGACTCCACCGTTATGACACTTCTGGTGGCTGTAGCTCCCAGTTTCTCTCTTAGGCCCTCTGTTCAATCCTTGCAGGTTTCCTTAGATGATCTACATTCCTGATTTTTCAAAACTTCTGGGGTCTCCATTGCACCTTTGGCTTCACACTCATTTTTACACACTGCCCTCTCAGGGGCACACTGTCAGACCTCCCAGGCCTTCTGAAATCTAGGTGGAAGCCTTTTTAACCTCAGAACTCTTGCATTCTGCATGCACCTAAAACCAGTGCCATGTGGATGATGCCAAGGTCTGCTGCCACCTAGAGCAGTAGCCAAGCTTCCTTCTCTCTTAGCTATAGCAGTTGAGTGCCTGGATCACTGAGTACTCTGAACTTGATTCTGAGGAACAAATTCTCTATGCTACTGCCACTCTGGAACCTGGTGCAGCTGCTACCACCATTCTGGAACATGGTGCTCTGTGGCTTTCTCCTCACACCAAAGTCTTTCACTTTTGTTGTTTCAAGGTTGCAAAGGGTAGAGACTTGCTGCTTCTAATGA